TTTTTTTTTTTTTTTTTTTAATTTCGATTCTCTCTTTTTTGTTTTCAAATTCCACATTGGTAAACGGAGTTTGCTCAGATTCCGAAAAATAAAAATGCGAAGCAATAACAAAGGAAGCAAAGGAGTGGAAAAGTTTACTGAAGTTTTAAGACAGCACACTGTGAAGAATTGCATTTGTTCGATTGAGCGCACACGTTTCTAAGTAAGTAATCATACCAGGAAGCGATCCCAGGCACAAGAAGAAGAGTCAGGCTAGTAGTTTTAAGATAATGTTCTACTGTTTTGCGTAGAAAATCGATTCTACCAAAGAATCTTTTCATTTTTTTATTTAAAGTAGGCTTATGAGACTGTACGTCCCTCAAAACTTAATTAAAAACTATTAGCCGTGTATAAATATGACCCAATAAAAAATTTTAACTCTAGTAAACCAGGAAAAAAAGCACAGAAACCAAATTGGCAACTTGATTTGTAAAAAGCAGTGATCGACTGGTTACCCGCCACATAACCGGAAAACACCATGCAAGTGTCTAGGAAACAGTGAAAAAAAAGGTAGAGTAAAACACGACCTACATTTGTCTCGGCAAAAGAAGAGCTAAGGAAGAAAAAGACGAATAAATTTAAATAAGAAAAAAAAAGCAAGAACAGGGGGAGCAACTAGACTTGCAAATTGGTAGCAGCAAGAACAGGAACAGGATCTAGGCCAGAAGTAAAAACCATAATAGCAGCAGCAGCTGAAAAATGGAAATTGTTTTGAAGTCCGGAAAAAAGAAATTGTCAGCAGAATACAGCAATGAAAAATTCCTCCGGTTTTTATTGAAAATTTCCATCAAGTTTATGGAACACGGTGCTGCTAAAAACCCCAACTGGTCATTTAAAGTTTTTTAGAAACTTTAACAGGCCATTTTTTTTTTGTAGAATAAGAGCAAAAGAAGCTGATAAATATGATATCCTAGGAGAACTTTGGAAATAAAAGCCAATTAATAAAGAGAACCATATTTGTCATGAATTTACTCATTGATTTTGTTTTGATTTAAGTAAAATCTACTTTCATCAAAAGAACGACATTGGATTACAGTGACAACAAAGGATAGAAAAGCATAAAGTTCTAGAAAATTTTCCATGGAGCTGATTTTGGGACAAGCAAGGATTGTGCAATTAACCGAACGAGAAACAGGAATAAAATGTTCGCTAATTTGAGAAGTTTTGAAAAAATCCAGCTTTTTTATTTTTGCCGATTCCGTTGACACTTCACGTTTTTCGGTGTCTAATCTAAAATATTAGATGGACGCCAGCTGCACAGAGAAGAATTTTCGCGAATTTACGCACACCACTGTCGTAAAGCATTTGCTCTGATCTGTCATTAGGAAGAAGCTCTTGAAGACCAACAGCGGCCTACACATATAAGGAGACGGTCGATGAAGGTTATGAAGCTTCTGTATTCAGATTCTAGTTGTACATCATTTCTCCCTCGTCAAAGGTTCTCTAATTTAGTTTTTATTGGTTTTCTTTACAAGGTCTATCCACAAAGCAGCTTTCAATCTGCTTGTTGTAGACTAACACGTCAATAATGCGATAAAAATGGCATCATTATCTAATTGCTGATATCAAAGCCGATTTTACTATAATTAGACACAAAATTGAAGACATCACAATTTTTAAAGATTCTTCAAATTTTCTTCAAGTTGCACTAAATTCAACACTACTCACCTCCTCCCACTCTCACTTGGAATCAGAGCATAAAAGTTCCTGCGCATGTAAGCGGAGACATTCTCAGTTAAAGCATGTCTATTCTATCCTATTTGGTGCTACACTGGTACTTCGAACAATTAACTAATTTATTTCTCATCTTTGAACTTTGATTTATTCTCTTTTCTGTCCGTCCTTCTCAAAGAAGATAATTTTTGTTTTTTTCCTAAAGTTTTTTGTTCTACATTATTATTAGAATGCTTGGATGTTTGAACTATTATTTTTCAGTATGATTAATGTTATATCTTTGAAACTTAATATTGAGGACTTGAACCAAATTTTTTAGTGAATTTCTTAATTCTAAGAAATATACTGTAAGAATAAACTTAGAATGAATATAAAAGATTCTAAGTTAGCTTTATTTAGTAGAAGGCGACAAACAAGGCCATTCTCGTCTATCCACATTTCCTAAGGATGTCGCCAAATCCATGTGCCAATTGAACAGAGCGGTTTAAGAGGTGTCCAATAAAGACGAAACACGTAAAGGACACATCTTATTTGAAACGACCAAAAAAATTTTGTTACTTCTGGAAAGTAAAGAAATTAGACGTGTATTTGCGGACTCGAACAGTACTGAGCTACTGTGATAAGATGTACAGAAAAAAAAGAAAAAAACTAATTATTGTCAAAGCTAGTCTTCCTTCCGTTTCGTTCGACGTCTCACGCCAACTAAAACAGACAGAAGGTCAACGGTCTCGTGGTTACGATATATTTCCAGATAAATTTTAAAAGACAAAAAAGTAATCGTGTATCAAGAAACATTCAGAGACGGTCCACTAAGTTAAAGCGATCATCTAACGTTTCGCTGAGATATTACGAAACTGGAGAGAATACGACAGGACAAAAAATAGTCTAGTCCAAAAAAATAGATGCAGATTTTATAGAAGAACCTTTGTTAAAACAAATCGACTTTCTTTTTCTGAATAAGAAAAGGCTCCTACATCTCATTAAAATAGACGGACGAGAAGAATGCGTTTATTGCTTGACCAGTAAAATAAGCGCGTGTTAGCAATTTACAGCAAAAGCTACAATTATAAGATTTCTGGAAAAGCCTATTTCTCATGGGGGACAGTAAAAAGCAGGAATAGTAGTCTCAAAGAGTATTCAATTCTTCAGAACATCGACTTCATTTGTTTCATAACCTTTTTGCAGAAGCAGTTCCGAGTGTTTTTCAGAAAACGACTTATTCTTTAACTTCTATGGCACAGGAAATTCAGTCGCCTCGGCAACGTAACGTAGTTTAATCTGTTCCACCGTTTTCGTTTTAAGAAATGTTGTTCCGCTTTGAATTCTCCCAAGCTTTCAAGAAAAAACTTCAAAGTCCACTGATTTTCTTCCCAAAATTTCAACTTCTTTAAGCTGGAATTGTGCAATTAAGAATCTTTCCACAGTCCTTTGTCTTGCGAGAAGAGCTGAACCTAGCACTACTCTCTAGTAGTGTTCTGCTCTTTCCCAATTATTTTTTGAGCCAAATCTTTACATAATATTCAGGAAGGTGTTCTCCGTCAGATTTACTTCAACGAGATAATTTCAATGTTTTCCAATTTTTTGTCCCTCTTCTTTCCATACTCAAAAGGCAAAAAGTAATTTTCCATTTCAAGCTCGGTTTCCGATAATTCAGTAACTCGAACTTTTATCAGTTCTCCTCTCACTAGCTCGTTACAAAATGTTTCAAGCTGGTCGCTCTGTAATCTGACATTCACTTTTGTTTCTTTCGCTATTTCTCAGAAAAATGTCTCAAGACGGTATTGTTTATACTGCGTCACTCCGGCGACTTGGGATTCAAAGAAGCCCTAAATTAAACAGTATTTCTTTGCAGAGGCTGTTAATCCCACAAATTTTCTGCAACTCCTTTATAGTTGGCTGACCAAAAACCCTTTCTGTTTACTCTTTTCCCCTTATTACTGTAAAGTTATACTGTGAGACTAGAAGTCGATCGAGCTGTTTGAGGAACGAGGCTAATTAGGTATTTTAAAACAATATTTTGAAACTTTAAATCCATGATAACTGGAGTCTTCTTAAGGACTCGTAGCTTTCAGCCAGGATGGTGATCAAGATATATTTTATTCGTTCCTCATGGAAATGACATACTTGGGAAAATTCAGTTATATTAAGTTCCTCAAATGACTCGATCGTTTTGCACCTAGTTTTTTGAAAAATTTTTGGATTTGCCAATTGAGTTCGGAGCATTTAGACTCTTTATTACTAAAAATGAAAGGATCGTTTTTCCTTGCGATTTTTCAGGATAATTTTCCGCCCTCGATTATGAACTAGCTTGATTAGCTTTCGCTTTTAGGTTATTACTCTTCACTGGCAATAAAAATCATGCTCCTTGCACCCTTGAAAATGCTCGGGTACTTCTGTAATTTTTAATACCGTTTTTGAGTTCAAAATTGTTTGAATTACAATTAAAATTAATAGGATACAAGAGATAATAAGTTTTGAAATCCTGCATCTATTTGGCAACAAGGGAGCAGCAGAATGCACAAAACTATCACAACTTTTATGCGGCCTGACCGCCTTCCGGACTACAAAGCTTCCCATTGTAAACCCTTCTCCCCAAATTGGTGGAACATGATTAATATCAGGTGAAATGAAGCGCGAAGTCTCGGATGTTTCAAGCAAAGTTTTCTGTTTCTTAAGTGAATTTATTAAGTACTTTTTACTCCATATTTATCACAAACGACCCATAACAATTACTGTTGTTGCTGAATGGCCCTTTATACTTTTCCTCAGGTATCTGTGAAGCATCGTCGTTCCCTCCTGCACCTGTGGAAAAGATAGTCCTACCTTAGCCGCCGGAATTAATAGGCCTGTCTGGCTGGGTACAAATTGAAATCTTCGTAGAGAAACGTAACAAGTGGTGGATTTGCCCCTGATTCTACTTCTGTGAAAACCTTTCCTAGCGCATTACTTCCCAAAATTTCCCTTCCTAATGCCTTTTTAAAAGTTTTACTATTCCTGCTGATCTTTCATAAGAGTAACGACCATTGAATACTAGCCTCAAACAGCGGTTTAGGCAGAAAAGAAAAGTAGGCCTTCAAGAATTTTGCGCCATATCTAACAGCAGCCTCCTGTTCACATTAAGGTATTTCCATGAAAAAATTTATTCAGCAGCATGTGCAGTATGTACAAACACGGAATCTCAATCCTCGTGATATTCAGAACAAGCAAGGAACATAAAATAAGAGAAGATGAGGGAAAGTTGGGACTTCATCAAACTAAAAAATTTATTACTCCTAGATGTATAACTCTTATATCTCACCTGTGAAAAATTTGACCTAAAAAGAAAAGAAAACTGTTTCACTACGACACATTTTAATGGACTCTAATAAACAAAAGTGTTAGGAAACTACAATGGATTATATTTGACAGTTCAAGAATTTATGTCCTTTACGTAAAAATTCAACGTACCAGATGAAAATCAGAGCCTCGGAAAACGAGTGAGGAAGATACCTAAGTAAAAAGAAACGGCTGGAAAAAAAAGCTGAAGGAATTATAAAAATCAATTTTAAAAAGTGGAACAAAAACAACAGTGCATACTATTTAGCTTCTACATTTCCGGCAAGCCGGCTAGTACGAGATTCACTTGAACATGAAACAAGATTTTAGGGTCTGACAAATATGTTAAACACGCAAAATATAACAATGACAACCCATTTTTTCACTTACGTTATATATATTCCAATTTTCAGTTCCCAAACTGAATATAGGTAAATAACGTCCTCAGTCACTCGTTAAAAGGCTAATGGAACTCTAGCAAGTTGATGTAAAACAAAAAAAACATGATCCTGCAGTTACTAGGTATTTGACACTACTACCGATACAAAAGACGACAGAAGCTTCTCTTAGCGTAAAATTTTCTGTAGGACAATGCAGTAATGAAAAGTTTTCAGTCGTAACACTGAGGTAACAATCATAGTCTTCATCTCCTTAAAAATTCCATAAGTTTAAGTTTTCAACTTCCCAGATGAGAGTTCCATTTGCGCAAGTTACTTTTACAAAGTCCTGTGCACATCAAATTCTGATAAGTTACCACATATGGCAATGCTTAGTGTTAGCCCTTCTACTAAAGACCGACTATCACAACTAAGAAAACTTAATTACCACTAATATGAAAATGGCCAAAAACTTACGAAGGTGAGAACCAAAATCAAGACAATATCATGTATAAATTCTCTAAGGAACCTAATCTTTTATCCTATTAAGAACGTAGATTAAGAACCATACGTAATTATTGAAACTTTCTTTCATTTCTGCTCCTTACAAAGAAATTACCAAACAGCCCAGGTAAGTCAGTTGATAACGGTGGAATACCAAAAAGCTTTTTGAACGATGAGGTCCTCAAAAGATGTGTTTCTACTAGAGCAGTTAACCCAACGACGCTCCAGTACAAAGAAAAGAACTGAAAAACCTTGAGTAAATTTTTTCGTTGAGGGAACTTGAAATCAACATTTTTCAAAATAATAAACGAAAAAAAGCTTACTGCTGGAGCCTTTAACAAAACGGCGGTGATGGTTAGCGTAATGACAGTGAAAAAAATAGTTCTAATACTTTCTCCCACTTCTGTCGGGTAAAGTCGCTTCGATAACTAAAAATTTGTCGTTCGCTTGCCCCACACTGGTGACAATGTGAAAAAAAAACTTACATACAAATTGGAGAAACCAAGAAGACCAACTGTGAGTGGCAAAATGTAAAGCGGGTCAGGCTGCAAAAGATCAGGAAACCAAAGTGAACCGTTCATCCCAAAAGGCGCCTCTTCTTAAAGAGCTTTGATAATTAACTTCTAAACAACATAGTTACAACAACGTTTGATTTTCAGATTCAAGACTGACTGCTCTTTTTCATAATAAAGTAAACAGTTAACAAGTAGTTTACACTTTAAACAAGTAAAATTATTCATTCATTGTTTACCTTACTAAGGAAAAAACCAATCACTTTTGCTAGAAAAGACTTCGTAAGACTTTCGCTGATTCTCTCTTAAAAGTAACCTAAGTCAGGTAATGAATTCGGGAACTTACAAAGTAATAAACGAGCTGTTTGGTAGACTTGATAATGAATTTTAGCTTTTAAATATTCAATTAGCAGCTAAATCTCACCAAACTCAAACTACTTTCTCTTATAACAGAGAATTTCCAATTATTTATATTAGCAGATAAAAACGGCAAGATTCATGGCAGACAAATCCCGCAGTTGTTGGGACAAAAATACAGATCTTTATTCCAATATTATGCTTTGCAGGAAAACGTGTCAGTCCATCGCCCGCATTGACAAATACATTGATGATTTTGAGAACGAATAACTAACTAATTAATTGTAAAACCCCCCACAATTTTTCGATATTAGCAAGCCTTTAGCAGTGTCGTTAAGAAGGCGTAGCAGAAAGTGTACCAACTGTTCAATCAACCTGAAGCCATTTTTGACAAAGCAGTTCTTAACTTTTTCGGCTATTTTTTTTACCAAAATCACTTTTCACCAAACAAAAAAAACTATCCACAGACTCCAGACTACCTTTATGTTATAAAAGTTGTAGAACATGGTAGTTTCCGAAAAAAACATCTACATTATAATTAATGACCACCAATGTCTAAGGTGTAGAGATTACTTATAATGATACTTCGGAGCGATAAGGAGGCAAAAAACCATAGCGGCATTACTGAGATTCGTAGGTTCAAAATCCTTGCTGTTCCTAATCGATGTTCGCTCATGTACTTCTGCACATATTCTCCCACCTACAATGCTAAAAGATGCAGCGAAAACTAGTAAGACAGGAAAAAAAGGCAAATATTATCCTTCTCTCTTATACCAATCAACTGTGATTTTCC